CCAAAGGCGTTACGATTGTCGGATGAAGGTACAAGACCCACCGTTTCGAAGCTAAGAGACAGGGCTACAATATTACAGAAGGTCACTCAACCCAGTTTCGAGTGTAACCAGGTCAAAAATGCAAGATACTATACCAGAATCATAAAAACAGATTCACATAATGCATTCTAGCGGAAACATCATAAAACAGGCTATCCAAGTCCAAATCCAGAAATTCCAAAACCAACTGAAAGCTAAGAAACAGGGATAAATTTCATCAGAAGGCCTCAACAACCAATTTGGAAGCAATTCCAGCCAAAACAACCAATTACAGGCGCAATTCTTACATTCGGGTAAAACCAGAACAGCAATATTAATTTCGATTTATCTCATTCTACGCTACTCCGATTGACCTGAAATTTTGTAGGAACCTATAAAATGGCATTCCATACAACTTTCATGTTTTAAGACAAGGCCAATTCGGCCTCTATCTAGGACCTAAAATTTCGGACAGAATGCTCCCTCAAGAACCCTAGTTTTCTGAAATTTCTTCCAAACCAGAAATTGGTTGCAATTAATCACTTTTCCCACCTCCTTAAGTCATTATAGACCATTTCCAATCATCATAGATAGCCACACAATCATGCTTATATTAAAATAGAAAAATACCCAAAAATAATAAAACTTGATCATTTCAACCACAAATCAAGAATTAATCCATAATATTGCATCTCATACCACCACCAATCATGAATTGAACATCATTAGAGGAAGGAGAGGGGTCCTTCACAACTCACCTCAGCAATACAAGAGATAGAGCAACTAGTCACCTTAGCTTTCCAAACAACTCCACAAAACACCTCAAGACCACTTAGCAAAGAGATTTTATGGAATGATTTGGAGTTTTATTGGTTGGATTTGAAGATTGAGCAAGAAATAGAAGGAAGAAATTGAGAGCTTTTCTTTCTTTTCCTTTGAGAGAGAGCCGGCTATGAAGCTTTAGAAATAAGGATGATTTTTGGCAATTTTTTGATTTATTTGGTAAAGTAGTGAATAGTGTAGTCAAAGTCCAAGACTTAATCTTATGGTGACACTTGTCACCTTTAGGTTTAAAACTTATCTTTTTGTCTCTCCAATACAAATATCTTAACACTTTGTAAAATAATATCACTTAATACAAAATTCCAACAAGTTGTCAAAAATATAATGCATTTACCGCACTAGCGGGTCCCACGTTCAAAATACGCTCTTAATTTCTCAAAAACTAACCGATACTAGAAAAATCATTTTAAAACTATCTTTGCTCATAAACTTTATCTGGGGAATTTTTCTAATAAAGAAAATGTAGAAAAGGCGGGCGATTAAATAAAATAAACCCTAGAAATTTAGAAAATTTCCGGGTTCTCAAACTCATTTTTTTTTTCGGGGCGTCACAAATTGTCTTTATTTTTATTTACTTTCTGGCAACCTACCATCTATATGGTTGGTTTTACTACCTAATGGTTAGTTTTATATTTATTGCTTTTGCCATATGGTCGGTTGTACCACCTAACTAACTTCTAACATTTATGACCGATTGTACTGCCTAAGTTAACATCTTTCATGGTCGGTTTTGCTATCTAATTAACTTTCTTTGTTTTTACCACCTTAAATTTTGATTGTTTAGATTATAAAATAAGTGATTAAACTCAAGTGATTGCCAATCTCTAAGTCCTTGCAGGATCGATGCTTATTATTCCTATATTTAATAAACGAATTGTGCACTTGTTGAAATAAGGTAATAAGATTTTAAAATTTGTAGTGTAGTGAAATACACTATCAATCCTATTGCTCAAAATCAATCTTCAAAGAAAATTCTTCATAATATGCTTTAAAAGAGGGTTGCCCCAATATTTTTCCTTACTAAACATGGATAATTCAAATGTGATTGCAATTGCAAAATTTGAAGGTTTGGCATTTGTATGGTAATAATTGATAATAATTTCTTTTTTCTTATCTATTACACCTCTCGATAGGAGTGACCACTTCACAAACTCCTTATTTTATCCAATATTCCAATGAAATAAAAATTTTTGACCATCATTAGTTATAACCAAATGAGTTGTATAAGTCAATGAATCTTAACTATACTCTTTAAGAAAAACAAAAATAAAGTAAACCTTTGTCTCGGTATTTAATATCTCCACTTTCTCACACTTCATATAACCTCTAAAAAAATAATATTTCACATCATATTTTATTTGCTTTGTACAAGTGCTTCTGCAGCCCAAGAAAAATCTTTACTGCCATCAAACATCCCTTTCAATTCCAAGTGAGCTGAATTATAGTTATTTTTCAACATAGTAGTAATTAAATATGCAAGTTTTATTCAAATAGTGCCAATCATAAATCTCTATCTTTATCAAGCCATTTGCTTCTTATAATAAAAATAATTGATTTAATCATCGAGACGTATAGCAGTTTGCATATAAATGTATTAGAAACACATAAGAACTTTACTTATGATTAAATCTAACCCATTTACTAACAAAAAGAGTTCCAACATGTCTAATGATGATCTATTTACTAGCACAAAAAATAGAAACTCTTTATGGTTGCTGATGACTTCTTTAAATGCGTTCACTATACATGTTACGATGATAACTCTAATAGTATTACCCTAGTATAAGATCAAGGCATAGTTTCAGCTTGCTACACTTTGAATGTGGTTGAAGCTACTTTAAAATATTGTAACAGCTTGCTATTCACTAGCACAAAAAATAGAAACTCTTTATGTTTGCTGATGACTTCTCTAAATATGTTCACTATACATGTTACGATGATAAATCTGATACTATTACTCTAGTATAAGATCAAGGCATAGTTTCGGCTTGCTACACTTTGAATGTGGTTGAAGCTACTTAAAAATATTGTAACAGATTGGCCTATACACAACCCTTTCAACTTTGACTACTACCAAAACTATATGTTGATTATATTGTTATCTTCATAGTCAACATACTCCTAATGTGCTATGCTTGCTTTAACTTGTTTTTTTCTTCATTAAAAAAATTTGTTAATAAACCTACCATTAAACTCAATTATACCATTGCTTCTATTTTTTTCTTTTGCTAATGATGTTTATTACCATTGCAAAAGTTTAGACATGTTATTATATACTTTTGATTATTAAGTAATACATCAGTTTAGGATTTATTTATTGAACAATACATTAGTCATTTATTTTACTTTTATTTTTTATTGTAAATTAAAGTAGGTAAATCTAGAAATTACAACCAAAATATTAATAACAAATTGATGATTCAACACATTACCAATTTTTTACGGCTGCCTGGGAGATGGTGGCTCAAGATGTATACAAGGCGATTTTGAGTTTTTTCTATGGTGCGGAACTACCTCGCTTCATTAAGGCTACGTCTATTGTTCTTCTTCCCAAGATCATGAACCCAAAGGATTTTACTCAATTTCGTCTTATTAGTGTAAGCAATTTTCTGAATAAAGTTATATCTCGAATTTTGGTAGGGCGGTTATCAGGTATGCTGCTGTAAGGATCAAAGACAACCTAAGAGGGGGGGTGAATTAGGCTTTCAAAAAACCTGCTAAGATATAGTCCACTTTTTCACAGACTACCTTTCTTTTCTCAAATACCTCCCAATGAACGAGATAACACAAGAGCACAAGTATTCGTGAGATGAAGAGAAGAACAGTTTATGTAGAAAAGCAGTAAATGAAAGTAAAGAAACAAACCAGGCTTCAAACACAACTGAGGTTTGAACACCACTTTTATATACCAAATTACTTCAAGTTGAACAAACTTGCAACCAATCTTTTGTGTACAAGGAAGGGATCACTTCCTTCTTGCCCCAAACCACACTTGGTCAAGCAAGGAAGTTTGACAAACACTCGCAACCCTCACTATGCTACACTATTGAAGAAGCTGTGTCACACTTGAAAAACTACATGAAGATTACACAAGCAAAGAGTACAAATGTTCCTATTGAGTATTCTAGCACTAGAATCACTCACAATCTGATGTAGGCTTGATGTGCAAAATTCCCTTTAGGTGGTTGACTTTGTTGTACTTATAGGAGACCAGAAGGTTGTTCAATTAATGCTGTCAACGGGTAGAAGGCAACTGAAGAGTCAACTAGCCGTTGGTGCTGTCGGACGTCCGATACACAGGTGTTGAGCGTCCGATCCTGATCAGTAATCAAGTAACTCCTGGCTTGTCTTCTTCGGACGTCCGAGTCTGAGTTATTTACTCGTCCGAAGATACTCAAAGAATGTCGGACGTCCGATACTCTCCTTTTGTGCGTCCGACATCATCCTCAGCAGACTTCATTCTTTTTTATCTTCTTTTTCTGCTTTAAATCCACAGACCTGTTTGGTTCATTTCTGAAAAAGGATCTCTACAAAAGGTATTAGAAACATCCAATTATTTTGTAATCATTAAAAGATATGAGTTGAGATAAACAATCTCCCCCTTTTTGATGATGACAAAACAATTGGATAGAGCAAAAAAATATAATAGCTCCCCCTAACGAAGTGCATGAGTAGTACACAGGAAGAAACGCAATCCACATCATCAGTGCTGATCCAACTCAACTCCCCCTGAGACTGACTCCCCCTAACTAGTTACTCTATACCATCAGTGTTAAACCAAATCCAATTCCAATTCTCCCCCTTTTTGTCATCACAAGATTTAGTATCAGTTTTGGTACCAGCAATGCATCTCATCAGAAACAATATTAGTATACACATTTACAATGCACAGCACAGTTTGGAATCAATCATTTAGCATATATCAATCAGAAACATTCATTCAATCAGCAGATTGCACAAACACATAACCAATCATATCACCCAAGAAAAACATTCATAACAAAACACTTAGTTATAACATTCACAAGAAGTAAAAAAAATATCCAGTTGTACAGACCATGTGTTCAGCACTTAATACAAAAGTGCAATGCAAAAGATGAACTATAGTCCTAGATAAAGGTGCAGTGACCTAGTAGTGCCTAGATGGTGATTTTAGATGATCCAAGCCTTCTCCTTGCCAGACGATACTGTGCAGGATCCTCTTCTTCCTCAGTTTCTTCATCACTATCTTCATCTGATTCCTCAGTTGCTGGAGCCTTGCCTTTATCCTTGGACTGAGAACTGGAAGCTAGTGTAGTCTCAGCACCAGTAGTTGGTCCTGTAGGCTCAGTTCTTGGCTCATTTACATTGCTCTCAGGTATTGGAGGGACAAGAAGGTTTCTTTTTTCAATAAAGGAGGATTTTTGGTCAGAGGTCATGGTCATCATGAGACCTTCTTCAATAAGCAAGACATGCTGTTTGAGGTCTTCAAGCAAGGAAATGACTTCAGAATTGGATGCGAAGGACCTGCTAGCAGACTTCCTAGGATGAATGGTGAAAGGAGAGACAAAGTCTGACTGATCACGAGGAGTCCTAGGAGTGACAGGGGTTTCATGAAAATTTTTCCTTCTAGACTCAGTAACAGTCTCCTTATAGCACCAATGGCCTTCAAAAAATTTTAAGTTCTTTCGTTCAAAATAAGCTTTTGACAAGACTGATGAAGCACTGTCTTTGGGAGATTTTCCAGAAAAAGAAATTTCAAAGTGGGCAAAGATAGGGGTCAGAAATCTACCATAAGAGAGCTTCCTACGGCTGTCAGTACTAATTTTGAGCAAAAACTTGCACATTACAAATCCAACGTCAATGCGAATTTTTTCAACAAAGCAGTAGAACAGATAGAGTTCCATTTTGTTTCCATCTGTTCTGTGGCCATCAGTTGGCACTAACAAATTTGAAATGATGGTGAAGATGATCAGGTTCTGAGGACTAAGATCATCCAGTCTTGCCTCAGCAGGAGTATTGAATGTGGTTTGAAAGTAGGTCATGAGTTTAGCATTGTAAAAATGATGGTAGGTAGAAGGGAATTCCTCATATGAAAAGAAATTTGCAATTTTTCCTTTGAAATTAGGTTCAATACTGGTTTTCAGAATGGAATTCACAATGTCAGGAGTTAACATGATGTCTACAGAATTGACCCTAGAGATGAGTTCAGTGTGTGATTTACCCTTTCTAAGATTAGCAAAAAATTGATACAGCATGTCAGGGTAAAAGACATTAGGAATGGTCAGAATATGAGTCCATTTCTGGAATTCAAATAGTTTGATAACAGGATCAAGATCAAGCTTACGAAATTCATAGGGAAGGATGAGCCTTTGGGTGATGAACCCTTTTTGAGAGACTAACTCAAATCTATCTCTAGCTTCATCATCAATGAATTTTGGAAGAGGAGTGGGTTCTTCTACTAGCTGAGACACAGGATTCTTTCCAGAACGTTTCCTGTTTGAGGTTTGTGTGGCAGATGCCTCTACATTTTGAGCCTCAGTTCTTGTCCTTGGAGACTTCCTGGTAGATGGTTCAGGAGTTTTCTGACTCCCAGTGGTGTTTCCTTCATTCTGCTGATCATCAGAGGGATCAGCAGACTGCTTTTTCTTGGATTGAGGAGTGCTCTTCCTCTTTGCAGACCTCTTTCTTTTAGCAGAGGACCTTGTGACAGCTTTATCACCCCGGACAGCCTGTTCTGGTTCCTCGTTTCCACCAGCAATGTTTTCTTCAGAGCTCTGTTCTTCCAACTGTTCATCATATGATTCAGCAGTTGGAATATCCAGTTTTCTTTGGGCAGTTTGCTTCACCTTACCACCACGGGTTACACTCTTCTTTTTGGGTGCCACAGGAGGTGGTTCCATGATTTCAATGTCTTCATCCCTAAGCCTAAAGGATCGTCCGGCACTAGTAGATCCTCCTCTGATTCTAACCATGATGCAATGTGGATATGATTTTTGATGCAGAATGTGGTGTTCAGAAGAAGAATGCAGTAAAAGCCAACTAGAGTGCACTAAGAAGCCGCAAGAAGGGAGTTGTGTGAAGTTAGGGTTTCGTATGTGAATTGGGAGTTTTGGGGTAGTTGGGGGTTAGGAGTGATTTTTATGAGTGATTAAGGACCAATAGAGGTGTAAATAAGTTGGTTGGTTCAATTTCTCGGAACTTGGTTTGAGGAGAGAGGAATTTGAATTTCAAATATTAGAGGAAACTGAAAGGTCGCGTCCGAGACTTATGGAGGAAAATGAACTGAGAAGAATGGGTAACTGCCTTATAGGACTCATTTTTTTAGTGTCGGACGTCCGAACGAAATGAAGCGTCCGACACAACCATCCGAACCAGGGTTTTTCTGAAACTTGGACGAAGAACACTGTCGAACGTCCGTTCCAATTCATCGGACGTCCGATAAGGATTGACTTGAAATAAGACTTAGAACATTTTTTCTGAAACACCCAATTTTGTCCTCAAGGACACAAATTGATCTAGCGGAAGAGCTTTTGTGAGGATATCAGCGATCTGTTCTTTAGAACAAATAAACTCAACACGGATTACCCCCTTTGAGACAAGATCGCGAATGAAATGATGCTTTATATCAATGTGCTTAGTCCTAGAGTGTTGAATGGGATTTTTTGTTAGATTGATTGCACTAGTGTTGTCACAGTACATGGGTACACATTCATATACTAAACCGAAGTCATTCAATGTGTTTTTCATCCATAACAATTGAGCACAGCAAGCACCAGCAGCAACATATTCAGCTTCAGTAGTGGACAGTGAGATAGCATTTTGTTTTTTACTAAACCAAGAGACCAAACAATTTCCAAGAAAGTTGCATATGCCAGTAGTACTTTTTCTAACTATTTTACAACCACCAAAGTCAGCATCAGAGAATCCACACAAAGGAAGTTCATGACATTTTGGATACCACAAGCCAAAATTTAAGGTTCCTTTAAGATATCTCCAGATTCTTTTTACCGGCTTCAAGTGTGATTCCTTTGGACAGGATTGAAATCGAGCACATAAGCACACAGCAAACATGATGTCAGGCCTACTAGCAGTTAAATAAAGTAAACTCCCAATCATACCTCTGTACTTCTTCTCCTCAACTTTTGTACCTTCTTCATCTTTGTCAAGTTTGGTAGATGTGCACATAGGTGTCCCAACAGGCTTTGAATCCTCCATTCCGAATCTTTTCAGCAACTTCTTGGTGTATTTTGTTTGATTTATAAATGTTCCATCTTGGGTTTGAATCACTTAGAGTCCAAGGAAGAAGTTCAGTTCTCCCATCATGCTCATTTCAAATTCTTTTTGCATGATGATGGAAAAGTCCTTGCACAATTTTTCATTAGTAGCACCAAATATGATATCATCCACATATATTTGCACAATCAAAAGATCTCGTGAGCTTTGTTTTGTAAAAAGTGTAGTGTCTACAATGCCTCTTTTAAAACCATTTTCAATCAAAAATCCACTCAGACGTTCATACCATGCTCTAGGAGCTTGCTTTAATCCATATAAAGCTTTTGAGAGTTTAAACACGTGATCTGGATAAGATTCATTTTCAAAACCAGGAGGTTGGTCTGTAACAGCCCCACTTTCCCCTAAGGCGAACCAAAGGGGTGAGCGGACTGCCTGCCCAGCTCTCGCCAGGACTCACGATGCAGACTAGAACTATCTATAGCGATCCGGAACTTACGAACGAGCGTAAACGAGTCAAAATGGTAAAATAACCCAAAATTTAAAAAAAAAAATCCGAAGTCGGCCATGAATAGTGACCGACCCGTCAGAACCCAACCGAAATAGCCAACAAACATTCACATCTGAACTTTAGCATTTACAAATCAAAATGACATACAAAAGTTTTCAAAAGTTAATATATACACACGGTTTGCCAAATCAAAAGAGAAAACGCCCCAAAAGTACACTTAGGGTTTTAATACATGAGCTATACAAAAGATATGTTCAACTAGCTCAATTTGGCAGCCATTTGTCAAATCCAGACCAAAAGGGTTTATTTTTCTGTAAGGAAAACAAAAGGAACGGAAAGGGGTGAGCTTGCGCTCAATGAGGTACCAAACAGATAGCATTAAAATCATGGCATTTCACATTTAACAAATCAGATACACATGTCAGATGTAAAGCAAAGGAACCAATGATTCAAATCAGAAGGATACGGGTGGCTCTCAGGAGCCAAATTCCAGCGCAATACTTGATCCAAACCGGTTGACTCTCCGTCAACGTATATAGAACCAATGCGTCCGTAGACCCCTCTTATCACCGAATTCCGTCCACCAAACACCCCTTTACCGGGCCCGCTCACCTCAAACGAACAAAATGGTAATACTCGAGTATACCCGGAATCAAGGGTCTCAATACCCAAAATCCCCGAACAGAATACCGTGGTTCGTTATCTAATCGTCCAGGCCCTTGCCGGCCCGACTCGAATAACTTAGCCACAGGATTGAGCTCATAGGTCATAGAAATCCGAACAGATGCAGACACAGATAACAGATTCAAATTTTGCATAGTAAATTGGCATATGAACAGACTAGAGAACGAGTGTGATAAAGTACACCCTCGTCTCGAACCAATAAACAGATTGCAGAGCAGAAATCAAGTTAAATAGCAATGGAGGGGAGTGGTACACTCACCGGCTCAACTTCAAAAGTTTTTACTTCAGATTGGCCTTAATCGCCAAGAAACCCTAAAATAATCAAAATAAACCAATTGAAGGTTTCATATCCAAAATCGAGTAAACGGAATGCACAAGTGAGGCTCGACTACACGTCGTACGCCTTGCCCAAAAATACTAATGCAAGGGTGGAAAAACATGATTTTCTTGGAAACAAAAGATAACATGAAGACCTAGGGTCAACAACCCAAAAGCCCTTCATTTCCATCAAAAGGCAAATCCAACTTAAAGAACCAAACGGCCTAGAAAATCGGACAGCATTTCCCCTAAATTTCTTACTTTTCCAGCCATTAAGGCTTCATGATTTCCTCAAATCAGTCCCAAAACCTCACACAAAAGTCATCTCATTTCCCAAAAGCCGCTCACTAGGCTCAAAGTAGTACAAGTACAAAAGTTAGATAGGAAAAGACCGGAATGAGAGCGAGCCCTAAACATGCAAACAAAAACATGGAGACTCGATAACGAGTCATAAAGCCATACCAATCTTAACCCTAATAGGGTTTCATATGCATAAATAAGCATCATAGGCAACCAGAAATTAAGAAAGGGCTTTAATGTAGGCCTTGATAAGAAAACCGGTTTTGACGTCATAATGCGGTAATGGCACAACTCTCACTACAATTATCGGTTGGGGGTGTAAGACCCACCATTTCGAAGCTATCAAACAGGGATACAACAATGTAGAAGGCCTCTCAGTCCAAATCCTAGCACAACTAGGTCAAAAATGCAGAAAACCCAGCCAGAACCGCAATTGCAGGTTCCCAAATCACACAAAACTGTAATACGTCTATCTCAGCCTACACAGGTCCAATTGCATTGATTCCAAAGGTACATGAAAGCAAAGATATCCCACTACATTTCATCAGAAGACACCAACAACAGAATCCAAACCAATTCCAGTCAAAACATACAATTCCTATCGCAGTTCGGACATTCTGTTCACCAAAAACAGCAACAGTAAAAACGGCATAACTCACTCTATACTACTCCAAATGCCCTGAAATTTTGCAGGCACTTCATACTCATCAATACCTACAACTTTCATGTTTTGAGCAAAGTCCAATTCGGCCTCTATCTATGACCTAAAATTTCGGACAGATTAGGGGTTCATGAACCCTAACTTTTCACATTTCATTCCAAACCCAAAATTGATTGCATTTAACCACAATTCACACCTACTAGAGCCAAAGCCCCTTATTACCAACCATCATACTAGTCCACAACATCAAAATCATATGAAACCAGAAAATTCATCATAAAATGGAAAACTTCACCAAAACTCTTCAAATCAAGAATAAATCACATATTGCCATCACTGCAAGGTACTTCTAAGCATAACATAAATGCATCATTAGGTGTAGTAGAGTGTTTCTTAAGCATCACTTACCAAGTAATCAAGAGAGAGAGAGATGTTGGCCAACCTTAGAGCTTGCCAAAGCACGAACTTCACATAATCACTTACTATCACTAGAAGCAAAAGAAAGGTTTTTTATGGAGTAGAATCTAATTAAAGGGCTTTGTTTGTAGAAGATTGAAGCATATGGAAGCGCTTGAAGTTGAAGAATTTCCTTCCTTCTTTGCTCAAGGAGAACCGGCCACAAGGAGAGAAAAATGGTGCATTTTGTGCAATTTTTGATATTTAATCCTTTGGTCAAAAAAAAAAAGTCAAGAAAGTGAATAGTGTTTCTTAAAGTCCAACTAATGAGAAGATGACACTTGTCACCTCATTAAATGCATTCTTATCTTTCTTTTTCCTCTCACATCAATCAATCTCACTCTCTACTTATCTCTTAACACCCGATAAATTTTACACAGTATCCGAAACTTAACCTTATTGACCGAATTTTTTTCAGAACTTTTCGCACTAGTGGGTCCCACGTCCAATATATATTCTTAATTTTCTAAAAACTCTCCAATACTAGAAAAATTATCTAAAAACTATAATTGCTCATAAAATTTCCCCAAGAAAATATTTCTAGCCAGAAAATGCAGAAAACATGCCATTAAAGGGGATAAACCCTAGGAAAATTATTAAGAGGAATTTACGGGTTCTCACACTCTCTCCCCCTTAAAAGAATTTCGTCCTCGAAATTCCTTATCATATATACAACCAGTTAAGTCAAGTACAAACATAAACGATCCACCGAGGAAAGGCCTTTCTAGTTCACCAAATCCTTTCTAACCTAGGCCCTCACATCTTTCGTATCCGGGCGCAAGAATCCCATCTAAGATAATTCACAACTCGAG